CGCCAAGGGAGAGAGGGTAGATCGGAGCCGTCCGATGAAATTCTTGATCGGACCGTGGGATTCAAATTGGCTCAAGAAAACTCAATCAAGCTTTAATCAAAATTTAGATGGGCTTAATAAACTGAAATTGAGTTCAAATCAAAACCCAATGTGACTTGATTTGAGTTAATTCGAGTTCGACTCGACTCGACCCAAATCAACAAAACCAAACCCAAATTAATCCTGATTCGAATTAAATCGAGTCCGACGAGACCCGACCAATTCGATCAAATGCGCTCGAGGACAAATCAGGACAAAAACGAGGTCAACAGGCCTCCATACAATAACAAGACAAAAGACCAAAATACCCCTTGGGGTTACATGCATCTAGTCCCTCAAGTGAGGGTAAAAACAGAAAAGAACATTAAAATAATAAGACTACAATACATTAATCAGAAATAAAAAAGATGCGAGTGTAGCCGTAGATCTTCAATGTCTTCTCGCGCTAGAATCTCTTGTAGATGTCCTCATCATAAACTGTCCATGTTTTGCTTTTAGATTTATCCCACAACATTTATGATGAATGTTTGGCTGCTTGTTCTTCGTATAAAATAAGCTGATTTAAAGTACATTGTCGTTAAGTAATGCTTGATATCACCAAAGAAGCATCATTGCATGATTATTAAAGAAGCATCATAACGTTCCATCAGTGTTTATAAGGTGCCAATTTGAATTGAAATGGAATGATGATAGAGAAGCAAAGGCTCAAAGCTTCACATAACTTAGAAAGTAATACAATCATTAGGGATCCAGAAAGGATGACTCTTCTGTATTACATGAAAAGCACGTTCTGGCACGGATGCACAGTAACTTCTGTCAATAATTTGATTTCTGAGTCTGACCTTCATGTTTGTCTCAGTTAGTAAGTCCCATACTCTATTGCAACACAGGTAATATCACAAGAATCTGTTGGAATGCTTCATAGATTATCTGGAGGATCTTGGGACCCTCATGACCAAAATGTTGTGGCAACCATATGCGAATCTTGGCTACAATGTTGGGATCTCAGGACCATGAAGTATGCTCTTCTTTGTTTTTATGTGTTGTTTGTTGCATTCCTCTGCCTGTTAACGTATATTTTCACTAGAATTGAGATGATGTGGGAAACTTTAGTTATCATGTCTCACAGAGTTGAGTCTTATGCTTACAAGTACTTAATTCCAAAATGTAGTTTCGGCATATACTTACTGAATGGATTAGTAATGCAGATTTTGCTAATATTTGCTGTTTAATTTTTAGATATTCATTATCATTACTTCAGTGCTTGTATTATGGAAATTTGTTTTTGCAGAGATGCCTCGTTAAACTCTAAACAGTAGCATGAGGCCGAACGGTTTTTTTTTTTTTTCTAGTTCGAGTTATTGTTTCTGTACAGAATAGCTTTTTTATACTTGTTGAATTATAGGCCCACTTACTCCTACTTGACAATCTTAGAAAATGAAGTACATTATATTTACTGTTAATTGGTCATTAGAAGCTTTAACAATTGCATTACTTTTAATTACTGCCATAAATATGCAAGTTTTTCCAGCAATTATTCTGATGGATGATTTATTTATATCCAGATCTTAGTAATATTTCCTTATATTTTATGCCTTTGATTTGTAACCAATAATGTGGACGTGATTAAAATTATTTTAGAGGATATTTAAAGATGCATAAACTGGAACTACAAGATATTGATATGATACATTGTTTTTCCCTTCATTTGATGTCTTCCTCACATTGATTACATGGTAACAACAAAATTGTCTATGCTTATTTCTTAGGAAGGCAAATTCAATTGAGAATGCACATTTTAGAGACGTTGATTATAATCCCAAGAAGCAGCATATAATTGTGAGTATTTAAGCATCTTCTGAAGAAAACCTTCTTCACCTTTTGCATGAAATGTGCAAAATTTTATATGGATTGGTCTTGTCGATATAATTGGGAATGCTTCTTGTGATAGCATAGGTAAATGCTCTATTTGTTCTAGTAATCTGTTTTCCTTTCTTCAAATTGTTGCTGATTTACATTTGACACAATTGACTTCTTATCTCACAAAGAACCTATTGAATCAAGATTGTTACAACTACTTTGAAAATGTCGAGTAATGACTTTGTCAACATAACGACTTGGAAGGTTGGTTAGTCTCTTTTGGCTAACTTAAACATGTTAACTCTACCCGGTGGTTTGGGCTATGTTATCACTTATCATAGCCCTTTGTGTAGGCTCAAATGTGGTTTCACGGCTGCTGCCCTCTTTGGGCTTGTGGCCCAAACAAAGTGTCCATCTCTGTCCACAACTATCGGTTGTGTCATTTGTAGGGTTGATATAAACGAGTTCGAGTGAGTTCATTTTGATTTGAAATTAAAATTTTTCGGAGCATGTGCTTGTCATATAGGCTAGGTGTCCAAAGTAGTTTATGCATTTATAATGATATGAATTATGATTAGAGTGATTAGATTTGAAATTTTGCTCGGTGCAGTTTTGGACTGTATTCTTCAAATTGCAAACCAGAAGATAAAACCTTATCCTGGATTGCCATAGCTGGCTAATCCACTTGTTTTTTTGGTTAAAGCATCATTGGATATTAAACCTTCTCTAATTTAATTCTTAGAAAACAATTTTCATTTTCTATGACAATCTCAAGTTCAATATAGTTTCATATATTTGATTTGCTTATATGCTCCAAGTCTGTTCAATTTGCAGGTCACTGCAGAGGATGAATCAGGGATTCGTATTTGGGATCTCCGAAAGCCCAAGTTTCCTATGGCTGAGCTTCCTGGGCATGTGCATTGGTACTTCATCTTATTTTACTGTAAGACTACAAATATAAGCTATTTTGAAAGACTAAAAAGTTCACATAACTGATTTGCATAACAGTTCTCTTTTCCTTGCATTCTTATGATGGCTGATTTTGTTTTGTTTCCTCTTGAATGTGATGTACAGTTTAAGAAACTGAACTTGTTTTATCTCCTAACTTTCCTGTTTATTTTTATTATTTTCTGACCAAGGTTGAGTTCGCTATAATTTTTAGGACATGGGCTGTTCGCTACAACCCTGAGTATGATGATCTTATATTGGTACCTACCTTTTTATTTATGTATTCAACCTTTTTGTTTGCCTCTTTCCCGCTCCCCTCTTCATTGTGGTTCAGGTACAGGCTACTTTGTAATTGCTCATTACTAAGATAAATACATACAGACTGCTGGAACAGACTCGGCTGTAAATTTGCTTTTGGCTTCTACTCCTGGAAGCAGTGATTCAACACCTGAAAGGTTGTGTGGTCTCAAATCTAATCCTAAATTTTGTTCAATAGCAAAGTAGTCTTTTTATAAATTTCAACACCCTACTGCCTCTATCCAGCTTAGCTGACTATGCAGCACTTCGAATGGATCCTTTACTGCATTCGTACAGTGACTATGAGGACAGTGTTTATGGTAATTTCTAACTTTAAGTCTTTTTAACTGCAACTTTATCAGGCAAAACCAAGCAGATGCTTCAGATTTTTTTTTTAATTAGGTATTGCATGGAGCCACAGGGAGCCTTCAATATTTGCTTCATTGTCATATGACGGGAGGGTAAGAATAAATTATCTATATTCTTACCATCTTTTTGGTGAACTTCATGTTAATTCCTACTTTTGTGTTGACACTAGAACAAAATTTTATTTTTTGGTGATTGTTCTAAAATTGAATGTATTGGGTTGCATTTTGTTGACACTTGAACAATCTTTGGCCTTCATTTCTTCCTTGAACTGTAACGAATAAAAAGTAGGTTCAGATAAATATTTCCTAGCGACAACCACAACTTTTTCAGCCATTTCAAAAGTTTGGCTATCACTACTTTCTTATTGCACTTACCTGGCAATCAACCCTAACTAATTTTGCATGCTGGCAAGTGCAGTCTTATTGATAGCTGGAGGATTTTGGTTGCCTAATCCTCATTGAACGGAAACCAATTTGGGCTTCAAGTTGTGTTGATGACATCTGGTGTTTTTACTTTTTTTCTCTGGGTGTCCTATATTTTACCTAGTACAGCACCAGTAGAACTTAAATGATATAAAGAATATGCATTGCTGTTGAAGAAGAGAAAGTCGCTGATGTTGATGTGAGGCATCCTCGATTTCTGCCTTGGAATGTTGAATCGTCAATTGCTGCGTCGGGTATAAAGCGTGGTGATACTGGACATCTAGTACTGCTCCTTATGGTGAGATGTAGAATGAATTGAAGTTGGTGCTGATCATGATGGCCCCGGAACAAAAAACATTAAAGGCGTAAATGTTAAATGTCCTGGAATTGCTCCCACTGATCCAGTCCAGTGCAAATCAAATGGAAGGTGACTTCTGATAACTTGATGGTATAGGATCAACATATAGAGTTGTTCCAGTATCTGCATAGGTGGATGATCTAGGATCTGTGTAAGTGGATGGTCTAGTTTTTGTGTAGATGAGTCATTCAGGATTTGCATAGGTGGATGGTTTTGGATCTACGTAGGTTGAAGGCCCTGCTTCTAAATTCTTAGATGTATATGTAGTGGTACATATACTATTTGAGATGTCGACTATTTGTCGCATTCGGCTATCTAATTCCTCAAGCTTATTGTTTTTTTCTTTTCTTGGATTGCCGTCAACTTTAAAGTCTAAAGGTTTTCGTTTTCGTAGATCTAAAACTGAATATATGGAGTGTAATTTTAGTAGCAATAGACCTAGTGATGGGATGTGACTTTGGGCGATCAAGTCATTAATAAGAGTACACGTTTTAGATATCTTGGATCTATTGTTCAGAGTGATGGTGAAATTGATGGGGATATAATCAGCAGAATTCAAGTTGGATGGTTGAAGTGGAGGAATGCATCAAGCTTATTGTGCAATAGAAAAGTCCCCCTCAAACTTAAGGGAAAATTCTATAAGATGGTGGTGAGACCTGCAATGCTTTATGGTGCCGAATGTTGGCCATTAAAAGAGAAGCATAATACTAAGTTAAGTGTTGCAGAGATGAGGATGCTTAGGTGGATGAATGGCTTGACCCTTAAAGATAGGATATGAAATGAGCATATACGTGAAAAGGTTGGAGTAGCTCCAGTGGAAGATAAGATTAAAGAGAGTCGCCTTAGATGGTTTGGTCACATTAAACTGAGGCCTTCCGATGACCCGGTTAGGAAAGTTGAGTTATTAGATTTGACTTATGTTAAGAAAGGTAGAGGTAGACCTAAAAAGACTTGGTTAGAAAATATTAGAAATGATATTTCTTTATTGGATTTAAATGAGAATTTGACTTTTAATCGGGCACAATGGCGAAAAAGGATTCATGTAGCTGACCTCACGTAGTGGGACAAAGGCTTGATGTTGTTGTTGTTGGATTGCTGTCATTGTTCCGCAAAATTGTTGAAATAGGTCCTCGATCTCCATGACGAACTTGAGCTGTGCAAATAAGATAAAGTTGCATTTGTTAATGTAAACATGCAACAAGAATTCTTAAAATTGTTTGATGCATACCTAGGCTATTTCACCTGGGGACCTATGATAGTATATATATGGGGCGTCTAGGGGCTATTGAGCAAGAATAAGGTTGACCATATCTGCACCATCTCATATACTATGCGAAAGTCTTGTTCTGATAAATTCTTTCATCATGCTGCCTGATATTAAATGCTCGTTCATTGTTCCAAATGTCAACATATTGTCTGTGATACTTCATCCAATCAACACTGCCCTTCCCTCCACTATTCACTTGTTGGAAAGTGGAAACCTTCCTCCATAAACTCCATATTAATCCTGGGAACTCTACCAAATTGATGCGCTACTTAGGCAAGTATTACTGAATGTGTCGTTAATTGATGAGTGGGATTCGAGCCTCTCAAATATCTTGTCCTGAAGTGCATAGCTCTGCCACTCATAACCATATTTGATGTTCGTGTAGTTCTTGTATAACTTGGCTAAATGAAATAAAAAACTTTAGAAAATGATTTATATTTTATAACTTTGTTGGCTTATAACTGAATATTTTTACTTGTTTGGCTTGTAGGAGCTCCTCAATGTCGGCTCTATACAGCCAGACATGGCTATTTGGTTGTTCACACTTCACAAACTTGGTCTTTATTCCACCTGCAAAAAGTTGTACAATTTAATTTATTTTTTTTTTAAGTTGTACAATTTAATTATTAATAGGTTAAAGCAAGGAAAATAAATAGGCATAACTACAAAATAAACTACTTGAGTCTGTACCGTAAACTCTTTTTTTCAAGATCTCTAGGATATTAGACATGATGTATGTTAGCTTATCAACATTCAATCGCAATTAACATCAAATATATAGCAGATGTAAATATCCTGCCATGTTTATATACCTTGGCTTGGTAGCCTCTTTAAGTTCTCTGTAAAAATTGCCTAAAATCACAGATCCAATGGAAAATTGGGAGAATGAACCAAATCCAAGGAAGGTAAGCATTGAAGGTGAATCTACAAATCAAAACTACCAGAATGAGAAATGAACCCAAAGTGAGCAATATGTGTGCTCGAACTTGTCTATGAAATATAATCTTGAGTAGTTCAACATATGACACATCCTATAGGCTAAGCCATATGAGGGGAATGTATGTTTTTGCTTTGCTTGGCCCATTTTAAATATATATGTGATGTTTGGATCATTAGGATAATGGTAAATGATATTTGGATTGGGTGTGCGCTTAAAACTTGTCATAATAGTCAAGCCATGACTGTCATTTACTACCAATACCTATAATATTATGATACCCTAATGGTGGACCATCAACACGAGTACCTAATATCATACTAGCATCCCACAATATAATGCCCATCTTATTTACTGGTAAATGAAATATATTTGTTTGGTGAGACCAATGCATTAAGCAAATGATGATCAAACTTAATGTGATGCAAGTGTTTAATGAAATCTAAATGTGCTTCTAATGAACCGAGGGTAGCTAGTTTGACGCTCTTTTACCATGAGCAAAGGTGAATTAGCGTTTAAAATAGTACCATCATAAACATAAAATATTATATTTAAGATTAACATTTAAAAAACTATACAACAACAACATCAAACCTTTATCTCACTACATGGGGTCAGTGACATGAATCATTTTTCGTCATTGTGTTATATTTAGAGTCAAATTCTCATATAAATCTAATAAAAAAGGTAATTTCTAATACAACATTTAACATTAGTATTGTTAGGTCTCAAATCCTGAATGAGAAAGTGGAGGATTGAGTTCTGTAGTTGACAACTAGCGTAAAATTTATTGAATAATATTGACATGAACCTTCAAGACGTATGCTAACAATTAATATTCCATGTTAAAAGAAAAATTAGGTAGAAAATTTAATACTTTGTATGGGTGCGCTGCTCTGTGCATCCCTCGTATCACAACTAACATTGCCCAACGTTTACCTTTAGAACATCAATGCTCTGTGGTGGAGATTGAAGACCAAATAGAGATTCATAGAGATTGGTTCTATGAAGATGAGGCATCAAGAATCATTTTTAAGAAGAAACTTATAATTGAAAAGAGAATAAGAATAACTAATATATATATATATATATATATATATATATATGTGGGTGAGCTTGAAGAGAAGAAACACCCATAAACGACTAGATCAAGCGAAAGAAAATGGAGAACCAATGAGTAAATGACTTAATGACCATGAGAAATAGTGAGAAGCGAATGCTTGTGCTAGTTCTTATGAAAGATATTGAATTGAACCTTGACACTTGAACCAACAGTTTGCTTTGAGTAGTAGCTGAGCGTATAGCTCCATGTTATCACAGTGATGTTATCACATGAAGCGACAAAGCAATGCAACCTCTGGGCTTTTTCGAGAGCTTGTGTTTCACAAGCAAACGATGCACTTTGCTAGTGCATCATTTTGCTTTGCTCCAGTATGCTTTAAAGCTTTTTTGTTGTTGTTTAACAACATTGAGTAGAGCTAGAGGCTTGTTTTAAGGGATGGCATAAGTAAAAAGGCCGTATCTTATGAAAGTGGTGGCATTAACAAAGGCAATTTTTAGAACAAGAATAACCCAAAAACACAATCGGAAGTTTGTTCTATTAATATAAGCACATAAAGAAATGTGATATGAAAAAAATCAAATAAAATCCTAAATGTTTATTGAAGTTTATAATAGCTTGGACGAAGGGAATGCAGAATAAAACTGAAGACTCGAGGGTGTTAAGAGAATAGAATTTTTATTACAATATAGAATATGGAATGGAATGGCACCGTTTAGAAAAATAAATGACACAATTGATTAGGTGATATGCGGTTAGAATTGCATCCCCCCAAATTATTATGAACATGCATTTGGAATATTAAAGTGCAAGCAATGCCTAGAAGATGTCAATGCCTATGCTTAGCAACTTCATTTTTTTTGGGATGTTTATGAGGATGATGATTGATCTATAATGTCATCTTAGACGCAAGAAAAAACAAAAACAAGAGTGCATAAATTTAAATTCATAATCTGGACAAAGAGTTTTAATTTAAACATTAAGTTGAACTTTATTAATAAAATTATTTGACTTTGAATAAACTTCCTATTGACATTGATGGGGTTGGGTGTTGGGGTTTAGATTACTGATGAGATCAATTAGTGGATGTGAGACTCTCCGAAGATAATTAGAAGAGTTAAGGTTAATTTGGAGGAGTTTAATTTGAATGTGTAGATTAGGCGTAAGGAGTTTGGGTGGAAAGACACAATTCTTGCCATCTTCCTAGAAATTGAACTCTAACATCTATCCAATTGATATTCCTCTCTAGATATCCAAATTACGTAAACTTGGACTTTATTTGTAGATGGGGAATCTAGTTTAATTCTAGAGTGTTTGATAAGGTTTGAAGAGGTTTAAGTGGTCTAAATGTGTGTTGGAAGACAGAAAATGATCAGGGAAACTCCCTAAATAAGATCTGGAAGTTTTGAGATTTTTTTTGATGTTTTAATAATTCTGTTTTATTTTATATGGGGTTGAAAACAAGTTGATTGGCTAGAATAATAAACAAAATTAGAACTAGAGTTGATTGGTTCTCCTGGTTTTTGAAAATAATTTGGGTTATTGAAGTATGGGAAGTTGGCTAGATATATGAAGATTTTGGTAGGATTTTATGGAGTTTAGATCGGCCAAATACCAGTGTGAACAAAATTAGTCCAGTGAAACAGTATGTCTTGGTCGGCCCTAGCAATTAGGATTTAGATTTAAAATTTGGGAGATGAAAATGGGTTTTGGATTTTTCTTGGATGGAACACCAGAGGTAGTGCACAATGGAACAAGATTGCAATAAGAAAAGTGTATGAAAATAAAAAATCCTATTCACCAAAGTAGAGGTTCAAGAAGATCATCAATCTCCTTGAGTTTGATCCCCACCAAGTGTAACAACTCAAGATCAAAATTTGAAAGAATTGTCTGTTTTAATATCTTAATTAATCAACTAGAGATTTTATGAATTTATCAACATAAATAAATCCAACAAAAGCAACAAAAAATCATATACATCAAAATATAAAATTATTTTCATCTCTGAAAATTCATGTATAATAACTAATTGTTTAATTCATACATTCATAAGTATATCTTTTATCTCTTGACTATAAAAGAATAAAATTGAAGAAAATGCAGAAATAAAATAAAACTTGAATTCCTAATCTATTTTCACCCCATTGGATTCTGACCCATTCTTGAAAACAGGTAAAATCATAGTGGACTAACAGCTCAATAGATTATTAGGACATTCAATTGAAATCATGCAAAATAATATAAACAATATACATATAATCATTTAATCACTATCAATATGAGCATATAATTATAAAATATGTGGTAGTAAATATGATCAATTTTATATCATATAAGCAATAAAATTAGTGGAAGCAACACAAGTCATAATTAGTAATCAGTAATCAAGTGAATATTGATCAGTAAATTCTATAAATCTTATACTCAGTAGTTACAAAATAATTTATTAAGCATCTTATTACATATATACACCCATCATTATCATATATCTGTCGTACAATAGACAGATATCTGCTATGCCATACCGTCATTTATGTTCTTTCATCTATCCACTCCATATAGAATGCTCTCATAAGTTTGATACAGGTCTTCACATGAAAAATTTATTAATCTGTTCCATATTCATTTGGTGCACTGATCTGAAAGTTAATTTTTAGCTTGGCGATTTCTTTTACAATATAGCACTGTTTCTTCTTATGTGTTATAACAGGTGGTAGTGGAATCAGTAAAGCCATATCTCGACAAGAACTGAAAGTTCATATCCATCCAACTGGCCATTGAACTCTGGTGATGTAACCCTATTGGTTTCCGGCATTTATATTGTCAAGCTTTCATTTCAATGAGTGTGATAGAAATTGGTTTATCAGAATTTTGCTTCTGTCGCTTAGGCTTATGTTGAATATTTGCTAAAAGGTTATTTAGTTTATTGACATTTCATATAAATAATTAATAATGCATGTTTTATTAGCAGATGTTGGATGCTTGTTTCATTAAATAATAATATCATAGTTTATATTTATGTTTTATTTTGATCATGTTTGGATTTTTTTTTTTTTTTTTGGACTTTTGAGTCAACTAAGTTAAACTTACATGTATCACATATGCAAGCTTTCAAGACCCGTTGATTGATAGTCAAAGCTTGCAATAAAATAGTAGATCAAGATGTGTTGCGTTGATGTTTGGATGCCTGGATGCTGATCAAATCTTTCAAAATTTAGATATCAGAATATTTGATATTTTGATTGATAAAATAAATGGGCTGATCATAATTATTATTTTAATTTTTTTTAAACTAGAAATTTTTGTATCAGATTGTTTATAAAAAAATAGTCCCAACAAAATCTTAATACTATTATCAAATCATTGCTTGCAATGTGTTAAGCTTAGTTGGTATGTGAGCTTGATGGAAAACATCAAATGATATGGATTATATCAATGGCAAGATGTAAATTATTTGCATGAATATTTTGGCGAAATTTGTTGACATATTAATCTTACATTTGCGTGGATAATAATAAATATTCACATACTGTAAAAATGAACTAATAGGATTACGAAAATTTTTTGAAGAAGGAAAATTGATTTTATTTTATTTTAATTTTATAATCATATAGTATCTTCGAACTCAATATAATAATGTTCAGATTAAATAATTAAAATGGCTCAAAATTCATTCAAATTTTATTTTCATTTAAACTGAAAACAAAAACAAAATTCATTTCGGAAATAATTTGTAGCACATTCAACATTACCCATGAGTACCTCTTCACTCCCATCTTCCCCCTTTCTAACTGGGCAAATTATTAGGTTTGATCATCGGACCTAAATTTGTGTCTGAATTACGTGTGCTTTTACTATATTTTTAATGTATTATTGCAAAAAGGTAGCTAATACATGATTTTAGCTGCCTTTTTGCTGCCATTTTATTGAGTATTTGAATAGAGCAACAAAAGCGCAGTAAAATAACATCAAATACAGTAAGATATTTGTTGTGCTTTTGTTTTATTTTTGCTAATACTCATTAAAAAATAATTAATATGTAATTAAAATTATGTATTAGATGTCTTTTAGCAAAAATACATTAAAAGCACAGTAAAAATGCATTAAAAGAGTATTAATCCTGACATAAATTTAGGTTTGATGACCAGACTTAATAATTTGCCTCCTATCGTGGCGTGGCGTGACATGCCAGATTCCCCGCCGGAAGCCGCCAAAAGAATCTTGGTTGCCGGCCCATATAACCTAAGCCTATATATCTTAATCTCGCCGGCGCCGACGTACTCCAAAGCCGCCACCTTTTTCACAAACCTTACATACCACACATCCGATTAATCCGGTGAGCATATGAGTACTCGAGATACTACATGACCCTTCCGGTGCTCCCGACAGATTTCGGCCACCGTCTCCGGCCACGGAAAGTCGGGGTACTTATAGTCCCGTGACTCCCGTCCATACTGTGGGTAATAATTTGGTTTACAACTAAAATGTTTTGTTTGGAACGGTTTTTTTTAATGTTTTTTAAAGCATCTTTTTAGTATAAATATTTCTAGTTCAAGAAGTTTTTTAACTACAAAATTGCTTTTTAAAGTAATAAAAAAGTCATTCCAAACGAAGGCTAAGATTTGGTTTGGGACAACTTTTTTACTGCTTCTTAAAGCAACTTTCTAGTACAAAAATTACTTCTTTTTTTTAACTAGAAAGCTGATTTAAGAAGCAGTAAAAAACCGTCCCAAACAAGGCCCAAGTCTCACTTGGGGTCTGTTTGGAAGAGCCTTGTCACTATTTTATATTTAAACAGTAACTAAAATTTCATTTGGCTACTATTTTCATACTATTTTTTTAAAAATTGTGATGGAAAGCTATTTTTTGCAACCAAGGTACATAAATTCTTTTTCCACAACTTTACAATTAACTTTATAAATTATTGAAGCCATCTTTAATCATAAATTTTAGTCATATTTGCAAATTATATATATATAATATGCCTTAAATCTTAAATTTGTAACAAATTAAAAAAAAAAGAATCATGTTTTATATGAATATCTGATAAATTAGAAAGACAATTGGCATAAAACATGCAAAATTAATCTACACAAAACTAAGAGTAAGAGACATAATAACATTAAACTGAAATGGAAGGTAACCAACCAAAATTTTTACTCTTTGAGTAATAATTTTCAATAGCCTCAAGATCCTCATCGTTACAAGCTTCATACAAAAAAACAGTAATAATTTGTAATTTAGTTATTGAATCATTGCATCATTATTGCATATTTGACGCAACAATCCTTCACAACATGAGAAGAAATTTGAATATATATATAAAAAAAATTTTAAAGCATCGATTTTTGTTCCTCCTCCAAGTTGGCATAATCAGTTGGCTTATAAGAGGTGAACCATTCAGCCAAAAAACCCTTCTTCCTCTTGGGATTGCAACCCATATCTTTACACAACTGATCATTATACCAAAGATGAAGAGAAGTAATGCATGATCTTCGAAAAAACTTTCCCAAATATCTCTTCATGTATTTATCCCATTCCTTCACGCTCTTCTCCATATCATTTATGCTCGGAAGCAAGAATCCACCGCCGATAAAATGCGCCAACCACCTCGCTCTCATTTCTGAAAGATAGATGTTTGATGCGTGCTCAGAGTATCCAATGATCGCAAATTGCGGAATACGTGGATGTATGCATTCCCTGCATTAGATTGAATTACATTTTAGTTTCTTTATATGCATACATCATCAATTACAGCTTTGTCTAGGACGGCTTTCTTACTGCTTTCTAAAGCAGCTTTCTATACTACAAAATTTCTAGTTCAAAAAGATTTTGTACTTAAAAGCTAGATGCTTTAGAAAGTAGTAAGAAAGCTATCCCAAATGTAGCCTTAGCTTTGTTTGGATCTTACTGCTTCTTAAAGTAACTTTCTAGTTCAAAAATTAAGACCCGTCCCAAACGAAACCTTAGTTTATAGCCATATAATTGATTAAAATAAGTACCTGTAGAGGGGAATAGTAAAATCTAATGATCCGATAACAATCTTTTGAAAATGAGGTGAAACGAACAAGTCTTTGATCTTCTGATCACTTTTGAATCCAGTTGCAAATATCATCAAATCTGTATTTATTGGGGAAGTATCTCCTTCAACTATGATTCCATTCTTGCAGAACTCGAAGCTCTTTGAATGCTTGAGCACAATACTCCCTTCTTCTACCTTCTTGTAGAAGTTCTCTGGCAAAACGCAGACTAAGCAAGAAAACATTGCTTGGAAAAAGCTGTGTTCAGGAACCATTCCATACTTTTTAATGGGGAGTATTTTCTTGAAGTAGCTCTCAGTAAACTTGGTGAATAGCCATACCTAAAGCCAAAATATCATAAAGCAACAAAAGTTTAAAGGAGCTGGTAAATTTATATATGGGAAGAAAAATGCTCCTTAATCTTCTCAAGTACGAAATATTTTGTTTTCTACGTTATATGTATAAAAATATAGTTTTTTTTTTCTTCAATTCATCATCTTCTTGTAGAGCTTAACTCAAACTTCAGCTCTTATTTGCTTATCATATGAAATATATTGCTCACAAATATAAAGCTTGATTGTAAGGGTGTCAATATTTTACCCGACCCGAAAATCGACCTAAAAATTCCGGGTTAGGGACAACCCGTTTGAGAAACGGATCGGTTTCGGATTGACCTAGAAACCCAAAACCAATCTGGGTTGACCTAGGAACATCACACGTGACCTCATCTTGTTGGCATTGTTGTGTGACTGTGTCTGACGTTTAGTGGAGTCCGAAAATACCGAATTGAAAAGATGGAAACGACGCTGGCCTACCACTGTCACCGTCTCGTCCGTGCTGGCTTACCACTGTGCCACAGCTGACTTCGCCGCTTTAGAGCCTTGCCACTTCGCCTGTTCTTATTAGGTGCGTGAATGAGTGTGATCCCTAACCCGAGCGGGTCGGGTAGGGCCGGGTCATCCCGACAACCTACACGAGTCGGGTCCGGGTTAACAATCATAACATGCAAAACCATATCATGTTAGGGTCGACCTGTTTGGACCGGATCAACTCAGGTTGGACCCAAATCTGATACGTTGACCATTTTTAATTACACCCATACTTGATTGAGTCTCACATAGAGGAAATAATATATACGATCTCAATCACCCCCATGCATTTGTGGATGCTTATGTATATATAACACATACAACCAGGCTATTATTTGAAAAAAATTATTAAGATTTTGTTTGGTGCAATTTTTTTGTTGCTTTCTAAAAATTTTTGTACTAAAAAAAATTTACATTAAAAAGTAGCATGAAAGCTGTCATAAATGAAGCCCGAGTAAACCTTTACCCAAACTCGATTAGTTAAGTAAATGATCTAAACACAAATTGATTTTCTAATGAAATACTAACTACTCACAATGATTAATTGAGACAAGTTGATAGCCTTTGAAAGAAACTCGCTAACATACCAATGGCGAGAGCAAGGTGGCCAAAATGCTCAATAGGAGCCCTCCACCAGGCCTATCAAAGAACAACTCAGAAAAACGATTAAGACAAAAATAATGAAGTGGGATGCCCCACGCCACAAACTTTGGTATATTCCAATGCTTGCCTCGAATAATCATTGTGCATGGATACTCAGCCCCTATTCAAACACCAAAATAAATTCAGATGTAATTATATGCATACACACACACATAAAAAATTTAAGCTTCGTTTGAGAAGGCTTTCTTAATGCTTTTTAAAGTAACTTTTTAGCAAATTTTTGTACTAAAAAATTGTTTTAAGAAGCAGTAAGAAAGCTGCTCCAAACGAAGCCTTGAGCAATATTATGCTGTTCCAGTACTATATATTTAGTTTGTTGCTTACCATTAACATTAGCGCATTCTGCAGCAACGTCGAGCGCAAATTTTCGAAATCCAACGACTGTTACACGCTTTCCTTTCAAGAAATGATCTGCAGCTGAGCTGCCCATTTTGCAATAATCCATGACGTGAATAACCTCACCATTGAAGGCCTCAGGTCCCTTATTTGCTGGAAAACTTGGGATATTAACAAGTCCACTGTATCTTCCTACGCATAGGATAACAAAATCCATTATATGGACCTGTAAAATACATTAATGTGAATTAGTTTTATTCATTAAATTAATTTTCTTTGATATGTACACTATATTTTCTTTTTGATTTTTTTTTTGAATTTCTTGAAATACAATTTAAAGAATGTTTTTTGTTAGAACAAACTTATCCAATCATATTTGACATAATATATATATCTGATATGATATTGTGTTCAACTATAATGCCCTCCCTAAAAAAAAAAAAAAAAATCTAT